AATAAATAGATGAATAATATATTTAAGTCTTATATGACACGCAAATAATTATACATGTACATATAATAGTTTAATTGTTAAATTTTGAGATATTTAAAGTAATTGTCGTGATTTTTTAAACATGTTTATTAATTAATGCAAATAATTATGTAGTCAATTGTATTAATCACACGTAACATTTATAATTTAATCAAAGCAGATGAATGTTATTTGTATAATTTATTATTTAAACATTTTAGATGAATTACACGTCGCAAAGTTATTTCTAGAAAAAAAAAAAAACACGTAGTTGCAAATTTCTCTATAACAAATTTTCGATAAATTAATAAACTCTCGTGCCTTACGTGCGATATACAGCAATTATCCGTTAATTGAAGTTAGGGAGTTAAGTTGTAATTAAGCATTAAGTGTCAAATGTTTGTGTTCATCGATCGAACGTAGAGAAAATTAATTATCAGATTTTAGATGAGAGAACGAAGAAATGGCTCAGCTTTAGCCGAGATTTTTTATTGTTCAAAGATAATACGCAGAAGTAGCATTTTTTCTGCTTTATAAAACTTTCAGCCGTAATAAGCGGAAGCGTAATAATAAGAAGCAATTATCACGTTCCCATTACGAGTCGATTGATGTATTGCGAGTTGCGACAGAAAACAGAAGATTTAAGAGGATCGATGTTACTAAGTATTTCTTCTAAGAAAAAACGATGAGCGTTTTTGGCTTGCCAAGAGAGAGAGAGCTTTTTGCCAAGTGCAAAAAATCAGTCAAATCTTGGATTTGAAAAGTTTTGCTTGCCATTTGTAAATAAGGAGAATTTAAATGAAACGAAATGATGAGGTTTCAAGCTTTAAAAAACTTGTAAGAATAGACCGAGATTATCCTTACATTTCCTGTCAGCCAGTAAATAGTCAAAAAAAAAAGATTCGTGAAGTGAAAATAGGCTGTCTATGCTTATATGACGTTACGATTCAAGCTGAGGTGAGTATTCAGGAGCTTTAATATAGATATGCGTTGCGTTATCTGTATATTGTATATACCTAAGTTTGGATATCTAGTAACGCGTGGATTGATCAAAATATTGTAGCCCGAATTGGTGCTCATCGTAAAAATGCAGTAGTTTCCGTCGGTTCTCAGTCGTTTCTATGAAAGGTTTAATTGTAATTCACGTCACTCTCTCGCGAATTCTTGAGTCGAATTTGCAAGCGGAATTAATGGTGTAAATGGTAAGAATAATCGATGTTGCTCTCATATTTACGAGACGTAATAAAGTCCTCTTACAATTAGTTCTATTGCTTGTAACCGACCGTGATGACTTTCCTCATACGTCTGCGTACACTGATTGTACACAGTCATATGAGACTTACGGTTAAACGTCAATAACGACGAAATTTGGTTAGAGAAGTGTTCTTGACAAAGAAATACTCTCGGTACGCTTCCTTCCGAAAGAAAACACGAGCGAATAAAAATGAATGCGTTCAACAGAGAAAGCAGCTTTACAACTGTTGTAAACAATTCTTCAGTATGATTGGTTCTTGCTTTTGATCCCTTATGGATCTACATGTATAAACCAATTATACTAAAGAATTTGACAATAGTTGCAAAGCTGCTTTCTCTACTAAACGCAGCCGATATTTTGGTTCTACCGGGAAGAAGAAGAAGAGAGTTGGAGCATATAGCAGTGCGCTGTCTGCTTTGCCACGCAGGCCATGCTCTCTACTTACTATACTTACGCGATACAGCTGCTTTCAAATGCAATGCGCGCAAGCGGAAACAAAGAATCGCGCTGCGATTCTTGACAGCGCGCTCGCGAACACAGACTGGATGCGCCGCGATTCTAATTATCTAACTAAGCCTGTCATGGCCAACAAACACAACTGGTGCAACGAGCACAATGGGCTCAATATCCGGTCGAAGAAATCGCGACGCATCATCAGCGATTGTCTCGAGGACATATGATATGCCGATGTCTTTGATAGATCTTGAGATATATATGTGTATATATATATATATATGTGTACATCAAATAAGCGTATAATTATCATCTAACTTCGTACAACGTAATTATAAATAATTTCAACTTATATGATTTTATTTTTTCTCGCTTCTGAACGAAGAAATAGTTCCGGTTTGAATTTTTTTTTACTATTCACAAAAAAATGAAAACTTAATTTATTTATAATATTTATTTATAATGTTATATATATATAATGTTATAACCTCTGATATGGTTTTAGTCATTTTATCTACGTTCTTTTTAACATTTAACTATATTTTTAAATTATTTTGTAATTTTGTTCAGTATTTAAAACGACTGAAGAAGACTTGTAAGTAAAATCGAAATATATTTTAATTTGTTGAAATATTTGATCATTTTTTAATGATGGATTAATAACTTGATAAATGTTTATATGATTTTTTTATGCTCTATTTTTTATCTTCTCTGTTAAACAATTATATAATCATATTATTTATTAATTAAATTATACTCATATTATTATTATAACAATCTACAATTTTATATATATACACTATATTCGGTAATTTATTATAGTCTACATATAATTGCAGACTATAATAAATTAACCGAATCTTAAAGTCGAATTAGCACAAAAATTAGTTAAATTTCAAATGGTAGTCTTAATTTTGAAACAGCAAATCGGTCAACATAATATATTTAAAAAAATAGTGGAGCGATTTCAGAAAATTACGTAAATAGAATTGGAGTATATATATTAACTTAATTTCTATCGCTAGCAAAGAATTTTTATAGACACTCAATATCTCCTGCTTGGGAAAGATCTATTTTTAAAAGTGGTATCACACTATAAGCTACACAATTTTTAGAAAATTATAAACAAAATAGAAATACGATAATTATTTTCTGTTTATTAACAGTAGTCGTAAAAATAAAATCAACGTTTTTCTTGCTTGAAGAAAAGAGTTTCACACTTACATGTACTACATTTTCCAGTCTAATACTTTCCGATAATTTAATTAAAAAAAAAAAAAAAACCTGAACTAAAATTCACGCGTTCTAATTTATAATGTTTTAAATCTATATATTATACAATATTTCCTAAACATATCGGCTACTATTATTGTCCAATGCTCTCAAACGTGAAATCAACGTTTTTTCTCAGAATAAAATATAGACTCTCTTAGTAAGACTATAATACTCTTATATATATTATATTAACATCCAATTAATTCTTAGGAAATTAGATGTTAAGAAACTCATGGGTATGAACTTTTCTACGAGATGTAACGCTGTCGAAAAAGAAACAACAGATCCACTTTTATACACAACACCCCGGTATTATTCTCGTGATTTTCGATTAATATGCCAACGCAAAACGTTCAGGTTGATCGCATAGATAAAAATCAATAGACGCACGTGAATCGGTTTCGATACGACCGAGCCTCGTCACTTGATTTTTCCGCGTCGAGGTAACTGCGAAATAAATTTTTTATTTCAAATCAGTGCTCTATTAAAAGAGAGAAACAAGTTTTCAGATTTATTTGCTATATTATAAATTGAGAAAATGTCAAATGCATAATTAATCTCGTTAACGGGAGGATTACTTGGATGTTGCCTTCGAATTAAGTAGAATTTTAATTCGTAAACACCGCTGAAAACAGTTTAAGTCTATATGAATCTGGTTTTTATTTTAGAAATGCATTATACACGTTCACACAGACGGATAAAAAGTTAATTCTACGTCGACGAAAAATATTGGAAATATGGCATCATCCACAAGCACCGCGGCGCGGAACATATCGGCGATCAATTCGAGCCTCAATCACGTCAACCTTTGAAGAACGTCGAAATAATGCAATAAAAAGTGATTGCACGACACAATAAACCTTATCATTTTCACCTCTATTGCACGTATCCCTGCAATCGCTATTCTCCCAAAAGAAAAGCGATTCTACCATTTCTACAATATTGACATTTCGGCATTCGAATTGCGCGAAGGAAATCGATGCGAAGTGAATAAACAAAAATCTCGGCTCGATTCACATTTTAGAAATAGCCGCGTGTGTCTCTGGCTGCTTTTATGAAAAATAGACGAGCCAAGGGAAACAAACGGAGTAACTTTACGTTGCATATTACATGTGTATTACGTATTGCGGATCAATTTGAATAATGTTATGCGCCGTTCTGCACGCAAGCTGGAAAATCATCTGTATCACGACTCGCATGACCTAGCCGGATAACATGGTATCACCCGCGGGTCGCGCCGCAGGATCAGCAATCGACTCGCGCAAGGACACTCGCCGCTCGTGTCTGCCTGCGGATCATAAATTCGTAGCACGAGCTGGTGAATGTTGTTAACGCTGAAGCGGTAATCAAGTGACATTAACGTTTTTATCTTGTTTGATTTAGACGCCCGTATTGCGTGGGATTAATTATACCGCTATTCACAGGTATCGTCATGAAAATCATGATGCGCCGTCGAACGAAAGACAAGTCGGAAAACGCAAACGTGTAGCCAATCACTGGTATATATAGGCACTATATACGGAAGAACTCGATTCTCGATACTAGAATTCGTGAATAACAGTAACCTGTTCTTTATTGTCGTTTGCTTCTATCGTTTTCAATTTTATTTAAAATGCGTATACGAGTGTTACATTTTAGTTCGACTGTAAAGGGACTAAACCTGGGAATTTTATCATTTATAGTATCCCGATATAATACGTCATTCTGTCTCTATCGTTCATCAGACACAAAACAAGGATATATAGGACCGCGCATTCGGACGCGTCCTTCGTGAGACAAAAGGAATCGGCGAGTAGCCCGCCGCGCGCGCGATAATACACTCGCGCTCGCATGTAAACAAACGGAGCTGTCAGTCGGATCGATGTAAACGTAAGTAACAGCTGTGCGCCGCGCTGAGTCGCGAAACGGACAAAGATGGGAGGGGGGGGGGGGGGGGGGGGGGCTGGTATAGACGAGCGAGAGCGTTGGATGGAGCAATGGACACAATATAACGACGTACCGTAGGAGAAGCGAGAGGGTTTTGTTGTTGGCGCATTCGAGGATCTTCTTCTTCTCCCATCCCTCGACCGTCTTCACCCACTCCTCGCCTGGGCTGCGCCAATCCTTGGATATGAACGGCATCCTTAATTCAGCCTAACAGGCGAGGACGACCCTGGCCAACGACGACAACAACGACGACGACGACGACGACGACAATGACGACGGACTGGAGCGACGCAGGGCGCACCTCGCTCACACGCCGTGCTCCGCGGACGCCGAATGTGCGGTGCGCGCTCGCTGGCGTCCGTCCGCTGCCTCTGCGACTCGCTCGGTTTCGCGCTCGCGCGCTCCGCCGCCGCCGCCGACCGACGCCGAGCGCTGAACGCGCATGGCTTTGTTGGTAGTGACGTCACGGCGCATCAGCTGTGAGAGCGGCGCGGCGCGGCGCGGCGCGTCCGCGTGCCTGCGCTCTTACCGCACTCGCCAGACTGCGCGGTCTCGCTTCCGGGTGGAGTGTACGCATCGCGTGTGTCTGAAAATTCCCGCGCGTCAACGAACTGATCTTCTGTATCGGCTTCAGAAGTCGAAAAGAGGCTTCTCGAAGGGAGAAAATCCGAGTTCTCTCTTCGTGTTATTTATATTTACGTTTTTGGCGAGAACTATCAGATTCTTGGCAGCAAATCTGCAGGAGATAAAAGACACTACGATGCTCGACACTCGATACGTTTTTATTATTCGGTTGTACAAACGTGATTGGCGTGTCTAGTCTACTTATACATTATGATTCCCAATGTATGTTCATTTTTTAAAGAACGTATGGAGGATGGAAAGTAATATATATATTAAATTGTGTGTGTGATATCAATTCTAGGTTTAACATTCCGCTACATTCAAAAGCAATCATCTGTTATCAACAGCTGAGAGCTGTCAACGAAATACGAATCTCGAATAGCAGCTGGCAGCACTCTCTGGTCTCGTATATACAGAGCGTTGAATAAATAATATATCATGGAGCCACATGGAGTGACCGGCGATTGCCTCACGAATGACTTAAAGACATTTAGAATAGAGAAAGAGAGAGAGAGAGAGAGAGAGAGAGAGAGAGAGGTATCTGTCCTATGCATGAAAGTTGAAATCCAGATGTTTCTGATGGTTTCTATCAATTATATACAGCCACTCGACACATAAATCTCTCAAATCGACTCCACTTCTTATGATTTCTTAATTATTCCAGCAGAATTAATTTATACCTCCGTCCTTGCTTTTTATGGAATGAGTAACAAGGACACTTTTCTAATAAGAAAGTTCGCATATCGACTTCGTGCTTTATTAAATTTGCGTTCAAGTCTCTTTCCTCTTCGACGAATTAATCATAGAGACTTTTTTCTCTGCAGGTTCCGCGGTACCGTTTGAGATTTTCTACCAACGGCTCGAGTTTGTCGCCTCGAGAAAATCTGTTCCTATCCGCCACTGTGATCTCTCCGGGCAGGCACATGACGTGGCAGGCGTGTGCGGAGTGTCACGGACGCTGACAAGTGGACGCGCACTCGCGGATCGACTGACCGGAGCCAGTCTCAATCGCTCCGCGCCGCCAGCAATTTGCTCGTCCGGGCGCGCAACATGTGCCTCGAGTTGCTCTGATTGTACACAGGGATCATCACCGTCAATGCCGTGTGGCTCATCGGTCTGATTGAAGGTATACACGCATGTATATGTACACATACGTGACAACGTAAGCGCTCGATTGCGCGAATGTCTGTCGCGGTTTCGTAACCGCGTATATAAATGCGACCGAGCTTGTTTATTACGTTGCGTATTGCACGGCACGTGCTTTCACGCAACTCTCCTCTCTCTTTCTCTCTCTCTCTCTCTCTCTCCTTCTGTTTCTCACAATATATTCTGTCCTTGTGCTGCCCGACAGGATATGGACCCAGGTATTTATACTCGATTCGATCGCAGTACGTTCCGTTTTCGATGAAACTGTGTGGCGGATAAGATAAATCTCAAGTTTTGTCGTAGGAAAACAAAGCTTCTCGCACATTTGACGTCACTCCCGAGCTATGTGAATGTGCAGAAACAAGCTTTTCTTATCGGCACTATCGTTCTAATGTTTGCATTAAAATTGTGCTAGGCACGGTCCACTTTGAAAAATCTTCTTAATTTTATACGCTCTCGCACTCCGCATATATGAATTATCAGAAAAAATTGCGAATATAAAGTGGAATTTATAAGGACATATGTTATATTTCACTCTATTGTCATATTTTAATTGTCATGTTGATGTTATGGTCTCAAAGATAATGTGCAACATTTTTGTAATAAGATAAATGATGAAAGAAGGGATTTTATGTTGAAACATCATTGTTGTTGAATTATCTCTACTTTATATTTTTTTAATCATGTTTTTGAATCTAAATTTGTATCATAAAAACTCGCAGTTGAAAGATAAATATCCTATATTTATATCTCATAATTCATATTTTAATATTACTTTGCATAGCAGAAATCTTATCATTTCTCGCATTTTGACCTTTTTATATCATAAACAAACTCGCTGTTGCTTAAGAATGTCATAGTTTAACATTTATAATCACATGGACATCATCTTTCTGTTGAATCATTATTTATTGTGATTATTATTTTATTATCATGTGTGAATTTAATTAATTAATATATAATTGACACGCCAAATGATTTTATGATTATCCTATACGCTTTGTTAGAGAATGTAGGTAAGGAAACTATTCTGAAAGTGACAGATTGGTTGCGTGGAATTTGGGAAATGAGGCGACGTGCCGGCGGACCGATTCAACAATGGATTGACTCCATACCGTCTTCCGCGAAATCAGACGTTGTCAATGCGAGCGAGTGTCGAGAACGTATCCCGAGCCACGAACATAAACTGTTAACACCAACCGAGCCTAAGGACATTCCATTTTCTAAGGATTTACAGTCTCCAAGTATGACCGTATCAGCGCCTATTAACATTCCTAATTCTCCAGCAATGAATACACCGATATTACCAAGGTATTAAGGAATATTCATGATCAAGGAGTTTGTCACAACAATCGACATTAAACCATGAATATCCGTTTAAATTTTTCAGTTCACTTCCTCATCAGAGACTGGCACGAGATGCCAGTTTTCAGTCGGACAGCAGTCACTGCAGTAGCGTCGAGAGCTTATTAGAATTACGAAAGGCAGATCCGGCAGCGATTCTATTCGATCTTGGCTTTGGTGGCTCTACGGCCAGTCAGCAGGAAAACGGTACAATTTCTCGTATTCCTAGAAGGTTCCTACAGCCGTCGTCGTTAAGAGGCATCGCTATAGACGAGTTTCTTAAGCAGCAACAGGAGACCACAGAGTCTTTTGATTCAATATCTTTAGGATATAGAGGCCTAACAGGTAAAATAAATTTTTTACTAGTAATAATTATAACGATTGCACTATATTTAAGAAGAATCAATTTCTTTTGAAAATAGTGAACTCTGAAATTCATCATTTTACATGTGAAAAACGATAAGAATCTTATAGTTACTACATCTACAGTGGCGGATTTAGACAGAGGCCCACAAGGCCCGGGCCTAGGGGCGCCATCCTCCTAAGCGCGTCACGACGCCAGTAGTGCCAGATTTATGTAATGAATGCCTCCATTTTCAACAAATATTTGCAAATTGTTCATGAAGAAGCTAAAGATTTCATTGCGACTCAAGAATTGAATAATATTTTAAGAAGAAACGAACTATACGAAGTGTACCCAAATATTAAAATCGCCTTAAGAATTTTCGACAGTATTCCATCAATAGACTGTACAGATGAACGTTTATTTTTAACATTAAAAAGAGTTAAAAGCTATCTAAGAGCAAGTATGAATCAGAAGAGATTAAACTCTTCAGCTATATAAACGATCCATGCGGAACTATTAAAAAAATTGAATTCTGAGGAGATAATTGTTGAATTTGCTGTGGCAAAAGCAAGAAGAGTATGATTAAGTTAAATAAATACAAAACTGTCTGTAATGATGTAAAAAGTAATTATTGCAATAATCTAATTATTTTTATATATCGTAATAAGTAATAAAATTCGGAAAATGTCAAATGACGTTGCGACATTGTATCTCTGTCGTAAAAGAGATGGATGAAGTGGTATCGGTTCCAATAGTCAAGCGATTTCTCGATTGTTTCTTCATGTCCAGACGAGGCGATAAGAAATATAGAGTCTAGGACGTCAAAATGTCTAAATCCATCATTGTACATCTATGATTTGTATCTTTGATAGTATTATCATTAAATGAATCAAGAACAATATTTTTATGAAATTAAATGATCATTAAATTTGTATTTCTGGATGTAAAATGTATCCGCAAACATCTTGCCATATAGAATAATAATTTTGTAGGAAGCAATAGCGCATTATACGTTTCTACACGTGTCCGACAGCGCAGAAACTCTGGATCAAGTAATTTTGTAAGTCTCGCGTGAGAATCAGTGGTCAAGATTGTTTTAATGTATCTTTAAAACCACAGTTTAATACATTGAATTAACTTATCTAGAAATGCATAACTGTTCTCTCTTATTTACATTATTTTGGTTTTTATTTTAGTAAGCATTTACAGCAGGCCTGTCCAATTTGAGCTCCGGAGTCAAAATCATTGACGCAAAAAGATACAATGTGAAAAAGATTTCATGAATTGTAAAGTATTGGTAAGCGTCACTTAGATGCGTATCAACACTTTAGTCTCCAAAATCTTATCTATATTGATTTTTTTGCGTCGATGGTTTTGCGTTTTACCTTCGGAACTCAAATTGAACAGGCATGACCTACAGCTTCTTGTTTTTGCTTATTTATGCGTCAGTCGACACACGATGTTTGTACTATTTTTATATAGAAGTTCATCATTTCTTTATTTATTACAAAACTTGCTTTTAAAATTTCCAAATGCTCGATAGTAATCTTGTATAAAATAGAACACAAATGGATTTTATCAGACTGTAGATATGCAATTTATTATATATATGTGATCTGAGTTCTAAATTAATTTGCATGAATAATAAGTATGCAAGAATAATACAATGATGTTTACTAATGCATTAAGAACACGAATTTAAAGCGCAAACTAGTAGTGATAGAATCGAAATGTTTCCTAACGTTATTACTTGTACGTATTTTAAAGTAATATTTAATTTTTTTTAAATCTCGTATGCAATAATTTAGCTGTTTTAAAACTATCCGGTTGTATGATATATGCCACTAATAGATATAATTTTTGCACGTGTTATATATGTTGTTCTCAGTATCCATATATATCATTCTATTTTTATTTTATGTATTTTATGCATTGTGTATCTTGTTCTGCGTTAATTAGTGTTATTGACCATTAATGAATATATGATATATTTTGTTTTATTTTCTGTATTTTTAAAGGATCACCATATGTAGCTCCATCGGAAATTGTGCAAAAAATTATGGAACGCTTGCGGGAACATGACAGCCATGAAGTGGATACAAGTCCGTATAATTATGACCAGTACAGTTCATTACATCAAAATGGAAAATTCTCTGTGCTGTCTCCTGATAACAGGCAATTTTTGGAACAGCCGCGTTCTAAAAGCCCCGATATGCGCAACAAGCGTATGATTATAGGTAAACGAGAAAGTTGATGCAAATACTCGTAAATTTTAATATTGACATTAAAATAATGTAGATATGTTTTTGGCTCGTAGCCTTTATACTGTATTTAATTAACATTTAATTTATGTTGCTGTGTAAAATTGATAAAATGTCTTTTTCTCTTTTGCAGGGCAAAAATCATTTACTTTCGGATGCGACGGAAATTTAATTGAAGTATCTACCGATGATACAAAACTTACGTATGATTCAGTAAATGGTCATAATAGTTCACTGGATGCCAGTGAATCTGTGGAATTAAAGCAATTGTTTCCAGAAGGAAGTGTAACATTTGAACACCGATATCTTTCAAAGTATGACAAAGGGTTAGCGAAACAATTGTCGTTTGATGATATCGAATTTTCTGAAACTGATCAATTATCAAAAAATGATCGGGGGATCTCGAATAGTTTAAATATTGCTCAAAGTGGCACAAGTATAGATGATAGGGAACAAGGATATAATATAACAAATACAACTTTTAGAAAACACAAGTTTTCTGATACTCGAAGGGCTAGCGATGGTTCGTGTGACACTAAACTCTTAAAGAATAAACTATTTTATGGAAGACGATTTAGTGATAGCGCAATGCGTATTGCTGAACGTCAAAATAAGGAGCATACGTTAATGCAAAAGAGGAAAAGTCTCAAAAGACAGTCTAGAGTATGTGATACAACCGCAATGTATTATTGCGATTTAAGTCCTATTAGGTCTAGTATACCAAGTATAGTAATAATAGAACCTAATGTAGATAATGAAGTATCAAGTGGCGTAACTGATAGTGCACAATCAAATATACCGAAAACATTCGAGTCAGCCGAAGATAAAAACGATTCGGAGTTAAAAACGGAGACGGAATTTTTATTTAGTAAATCTAATTATATGCCTTCGCCATCAAATGTTAGTGAATCTATCAACGGATTAGAATGCTTTCAAACAGCACTGGAAGATTCGGCATCTAGTGATCATTCTTGTACGGAAGATAATCAAACTTGTTGTTACAAAGGTAAAGTATGTAAAGATTGTAAGCATGGTAAAAACTGTCCGGATTGTTGTTGTTACGCTAACAAACGGAAATATCGGAAAAAGATGGAGAAGATCATGCAAGAAAATAAGAGATTAGAGGATATGCTAGCGAGAAGTAGGAGAGAGGTGGCACAGATTCGAGATATGCTAAGCAGCGTGTTATCAGTCAGGATGGAACCAGGATTTTAAATGGATTACTAGAGCAAACTTGCCAATTTTGGTAAAAGTAATACTGTCATCTTGTGATATGCGGAGGTAGGGTGAATACGTATATTATAGAAAAAATTAATCTTCTAGAGAATTTTCGACTTCCTATTTAACACTTTAAACTAATCTATTCTTCTATTTTAGAAATCAAATATTTTTGAAGTTTATATTTTATAACAAATGCTATATTTCTAAAATGTATGTACCTAAGAAAGGTCTTTCAGCATATCTTTTTATCTAAAACTAAAGTCGACAAATACATTCGATTATCTTTGCATGCTTGCATGCTTGTCAATATTTTATATAAAAATATTTACATAAATCTTTTTATATTTCTATTTCTGTTTATACTTCTTACATTTTTTTACACTCAATCAGAGTTATATAAACATAAAAATCTTATTATATTTTGATTTTATTTAAAATTAGGCACACGACCAAAAATGAAGTGCATTTTTATTATTAGAATACTTTGTTAATATCGGCATAGATGGATCATTAAAATAAATATAGGTTTTCATTGTGTTGAAATAAAATATCAGTTTAAACACATGGATGATATATTTCAAGATTAAGAGAAAATACTTTTTAATTTTTATTATCAATATATAGGATAACTGAAACGTGAAAAATCCATTTATTAAATATTATATTAATGAAAAATTGATGAGAACAGGCTGTAATGGTCAAGCTGAATTTTGGGTGTTTCTATAATTGCGTGTGAATTTCTATACTATGTATGTAGATTTTTAATTGCGCGCTGAATTTTTTTCAGACTTAAAACGCAAGCTGTACTGAACTACTGCAATAACATCACGAGTTAAATTGACTAACAATTTAATAATTTTTGATGCTCTTTGCGGGTTGGATTAATGACGTTTCATGCTCTACTATTGGTAGAGCATGAAAACGTCTAAAGTCCCCACTTAATAGCAAAATACTTTCTAACCCAGGTTGGAGCAAACCGGTCGGGTCGAAAACGCCATAAAATGTGCAAAGAGCATAAAAATTATTAAATCAATCTTATTGATAAGATCTATTGATAAGATCAATCTTAATAATGTTGAATAACTTAATTAAGCTTCGGTAGTCTAACGGCTTAGAATGCTCGCACGGAATGCAAGAGATCCGGGTTCGACTCCCGGCCGAGGTAATATTTTTCGTAATGAAAATTAATTATTTATAGATTTCAATGTCATTCAACATTATTAAGATCGATCTAAGATACGCAAAGAACATTAAAAATTATTAAATTGTTAATTAATTTAACTCCTGATATTACTGCGATAGTTTAGTAGAGCTTGTTCCAAGTCTGAAAAAAATTCGATGCACAATTAAAAATCTACATATATAATATATAAATTCACATACAATTATATAGAAGCACCCAAGATCCAGCTTGACCGTTACGACTTGTTCTCATCAGTTTTTCATTAATTTAATTCTCACGATCCTATGATATTTGATATTGATACATTTTCATGTATGAATTTTATTTTAAATATTACTCGAGACAACTAACTTGGTCTTGCGTTATTTCAATTTTTCTCTTTTTAACTCTTCCTATATTTTATATCGTTATATTATTATAAATCTCGTACATTCCACTACCATACCTTCGAATATACTTGTTAAGTTTGAAGTATTGAATGAATCTTTGTTATCTTATAATTAAATTTGTTGATTATCTCAGTTCATAATTGAAAAACATTAAGTAATAGTTATAGCTGTGTCTTGTTCACATTTAATAGAATTTTTCATTGAACATTTTTGTATGATATAATATAATGCACAAAGAAAGATTAATTGCAACTTGAGAAAACACGATCAGAATAGATTGAAATGAAAGTTTGATACTTTCACTCTTTTTAATAATTATATACATATTTACACAGTAAGATTGTGAAATGCTGGTCATTCCATATTCTATACAGAAAGAATTTTATGCAGACAGAAAAAGATCTCTAGTCGTTTATAATTATAATACTGTTGGTACGGTAGTAACATGTTCAATTGTTAATTCTTCATTTTTTACATTCAAAATAAAAAAAAAAAATAACATCTCAAGAAATTTCAGAAAACAACTTATGGTTTTGGAGGTATCAATAATTATTATTGAGAATTAATTTATGCTGCCATATTGGAGTACTTCTTGAATAATAGTATATTTCCACATATCACATTATAGATATAGATAATGTACATTCATTTAACTTTAATCTAACAATGGGATCAGTAGTTATATTTAAAGAAATCTGCGATTTAATGAACTGAATAAAATGAAGAAATGATCTGAGATTTAAAATCAAAACAAATAACATACTCGTTTTATTGAGATCAATTAAATGCGAATTATTTGATTTTAATAAAGTTATACTATTATCTACAAAAATATATTTGGGAAGAAAAACGATGTTAAATGTACATTGAATAATATATTATTATATATTATTATAAAATGTATGTATAAATCTGTTCAGCTAATATCAATTGGAAGTTTATTTGATATTACTAAATATAGATTTAATTTTCTCTAAGTTATAACATCACTTAATAAAGAAAAATGCCTTTTATTTTATCAAGTTATACAAATAAAACCATAGTTAATACAGACATATAGAAGATTAAATACACAAAAATATCATACATTATAAATAAAAAAAATTTAGAACATTAATCTTTACATAATAGAATTTTCATAAGCAATCATTTCATAAAAAATCAGTTTTTCTATGATAGATTTTTCGACTTATACAATATCAAACGATAAAATCTTGCTAAAATCCATATTACATCATATTACTATGTCAAATGTACAGAAAGTAATTATACAAACGAATAGAAGCGTTGTAGTCATTAAGGTACAATGTACAATTGTGGGAAAACTCAATAAATATATACCACAATTGAGTTTTGTGTCTTTTCTTATACATATTAGCCATAATTTTCACCTAACAAATTTATCAGCTAAATATATTACTAAATGTACCATTTATGACACATTTCGTAGAAACGAACTGTTTACTATATAAACTATTCAAACATTTATTTCAAACGTGCTTTTACTTGACATAAATAATCACGAAACTTATCTTAGAAATCGATGCGTGAAGTAACACAATTTTATAGATATACCACGAGATCAAACTAGACTGACAAAATATGATCGTTAATAATATAAGTTAACTTTGTACATACAACTGATCCACTTTACAAGTTCGATGAAACATATGAATGTAGGTTGTCAATTACTGGAAGGATCTGTTAATTTTTATCTTATTATGATAAGCGACACACAAGAACTGGTTAGCGTCGTCCGTAGTAGTTATGAAAACTGTAAGATTCCCTTAGAGTTTTTTCTTTTTTATATCATTTAGATATTAACTAGCATTTTTCTAGTCATAGATTTAGTTGAAAGAAGGTGTATATCGATCATTAATAATCAACTAATTAACGCAACTCAATTTACGCTGTTTCTTCGTATTTGTTCAAATATAAAATCATCTTTCTTTTTACTATTATATCAGACATGATTGATACTTCCATTTATTTCTGACTACGAACGCGCTTGAAATGATTACATAGATGACAAGGTCAATGCAGCGTTCATAGAGTTTAAATAAACAGACTAATGCCTATTTCTACCACAATGCAGATTAACTTTAATCTCGGATCAATTTATTCTTCGTCTTTTTCTAGTTCTAAAAATTAGAAAAAGTTGAACAATAAGTTAAACCGAGATTAAAGTTATTCTTTATTGGTGGAAGCAGGCATAATAGTGACATAAACAAAATCGAACATCAACATGCATCCTTTATACTAGGTAACATTGAATTTCTGTCGAAGATAAAACATTCGTAAATTATCGAGTTTTTCTGCTTTTACTAAACTCTGTAAATACGATGCATGTAGCGAGCAGCTTTCTTGATAATTAAAGCTCACATATATATATTCTGTCAAGGATATCAATTATAGCTAAACTACCTCCAGTAATAAACTCAGAGCCATGGTCCATCCAATCTTATATTTTAAATATGAACTGCTACAGTACCATGTCACGAACTCCATTCATGTGTATGTGTAAATTGTGTAAATTGTGTAAATATATGTTTCGTGAATAGTGTACATGTAGATGTAGATGTTTCTGTTCTGTCTTTTCTTATAATATATGTTTTCTTAAGACGTATATAAACAAATAAGAGCAAACTCGATCTAATCTAATCTTCTTTATCATCTCTGAAATTAATAAAAAGAAATTTATTAATCACATTATACGTATATACTGCAACATTGTAGATCATACACAATGGACACAATACAATTACATACTTTACAACTTCTTGTGGTTCCGATGGATCAAAATGAAGTTCAACAATTGTCTCTTGTCTACTTTGCACTTTAAAGGACACCTGAACCGCTATGTACTGCTCTTTGTTACTTTGTTGCCAGCCAGAATACTGAAATGAAATGTTATTTCTATAAAATAACATTTATAAATATAACTTATGTGAGATTTATGCGCTACAAGTTTCTTTTTATCTAATATCGACTAATACAATTGAATTACAGGTCAGTTTAGCGAATGTTAGAATATATTAATTTTTATTCTGAAAAAAAAAAAAAAAAAACAATGTGCTTACTGTCGTTGTGCTTTTGTACAATACTTTTCCATCTTCCTCAAAAGGTAAAAACTTTTGCAGCAACGCTTTTCCATCTATCCTCCATAAGGTTGGATAAGTGCTTGATTCCACATTGGATTTACCCTTACTGGATAAGTTATTTTCCTTATTCTTATTAGATTCAATGTCAGCTTTTAAAAGAACAAACGAACCAGACTGCAAGAAACATTAATGATAACTTCTCTTTTGAAAGTTTATTATAATCGACTGAATCATGACCCAATGACTTACGGTGTATTCTTTCTGAGTCTCTCCAGATTCATTGAAACTGTTGTCAGAATCATCATCTTCCTCATCCTCTTTTTCGTCATCGTCTTTCTTAGAACGCCTTTTCCTTTTTGACTTCTTTCCTGTATCAGAATCAGATTCCTCTTCCTCTTCCTCTTCATCCTCTTCGAATTCCTCTTCTTCTTCTTCATCCTCTTCTTCAGAGTGCTGTCGCTTTTTTCCTGCTCCTCTCTGTGGTCTTATTTTAGTACCCGCCTGTACATAAATCACAAGTAATACATATCAAAATTAAATATTTTCTATACCGTTCAAAGCTGGATCTTGAGTGATTTAAATAAGATTATAAATTTTTATACACCATATTTATAGTTTCTTTGAATTGCGTGCCGAAATAATTTTTTGAGATTTATAAACGCAACTAAACGACCACAAAGTCGGTATTCATAATCTTATTTTCAAAACTCTCTCTTAAATCTTAAATACAGTCTTAAGATGTCACGAACCAATCAAAGGCCGATAATCATAATCGATCCTTATACTTGAGGTTGGCTTAAGCACAGTCTTAAAATATAATGTCATAAACCAATCAGAGAGAGCCGTATTAGCACCTTAAGACATTACTTAAGGACAATCTTGAGAACGGATTATGAGAGAATACCAGTCATAATAATATCACAAATTATATATATAAATTGTTTAGTCTAGTAAATATATTACCTTGACTCCTGACCGAGGATATCATATTTTCCACAATAAATTTATTTACAGATTTTTAATATATTAAGATCTTTTTAAAATAATGCCAATTGAGCATAAAATTATTAAATTGCTAAGCAATTTTAATTTGTGATATTACTATGGTAATTCAGTTACTCTCCCCACTCTGATCTCCTATGAACCGCCATCGGCAAAACGTTCTGCTGCTTTTTCATGGGGCGATAAATCGCTGATCGTTGTGGATTGATATTCTGTATTTTTTAAATCGTTTTCCTTAAAGATGTAATTCGTGTATAAAACTAAAGATTAAGAATGTGTGTCAAAGTGAATTTAAACTGCCCGAACAGTATTTTGTCAGTAACATTGCGAAATGAATTGCCGTCGATAGCAGCTAAAGAGATTAGCAAACGACGATTGCTGGATATTGTGTGCAATTATGCGAAAGTTGGAAGAAAATGAGAAGAGACCGTACAAGAAGAAGCAATATATACTAGGTGGCACCATATCTAAAGGATCGTCCGGAGCATAGTTTTTACCATGTGTCGATTCCTAAATTGACCATAGAGGATGGAGTACGACTTCACAATTATTTCCGAATGTCCGCTACACAATTGGAGGAATTATTGTCGATTGTTGGTTCGCTATTAGTAAAAGAAAATGTTATTTCAAAGCCCATACAACCGAAAGAACGTTTGGTAATAACATTGAGGTTTATGAATGTTTAAATTATTGCAAATTTACGATTGAAAATTCAAACCGCTCAAATCTGTCTACTTATCGTTGTAGTTCGGCCTTTCCAAACTTCAAGCGGCAAATTGATGGATCAGGAGATCAGAGTGGGAAGAGCCGCTAGCGTTTTGATGCTGCATGAAATTGCACCTTTATTAGGCTTTGCGGCAGTATATATGTGACCCTATATGGTTCACTTCTATGTTATTTAACTACTTAATATGTGAGAATGTATAAAATTCTTTTTATTTTATTGTATTTAATATACACCTCTTGAACGCGCAGCGTAAAAGAAGAGAGACTTATAAAAGCTTGTTGTTTTAAAAGTGTAAGGCAGTTGTTTTTTTTTACTTTAGAATTAAAAAAATATAATAAAAGTAAAATATGTATGATAAAATACAAAAAATATAATACAAAATGTAATAAAATATAATAAAGATGACAAATTCATCATCCAAATAAATTCTAACATTCCAAAATTAGGTGCTAATTAGATGCTGAAGTTCAAAATTATGTAAGTGTGTGTGCTCGTTCCGTTTGGCAGGAATTCAAGCTGAAACGTCGCTCGCGCGGTTGGCTTACAAGAGAGAACTTGTCTTAGAAAATTAGATCCTTCTGTGAACTATATTTCTTCACTACCATTTGAAGAAACGAACCCACACACAGTAACGTTCGATTCTACCGATGTAAAAAATTAACTTTGATCTCGTCCTAACTTATATATCGTTTACCTTTTTCTGTTCTTAAGAATTCTTTGTCACTTTCCAATTTCAATTTTCTATAATTCTCTAAAATAAAGGATAAAATAAATCGAGATTCAAGTTGAACAATTCCAGCGAATTGTGGCATTCCTCTCTGGCGATTTGAAATATGCCGACCGGCGGGCGTAGAGGCGTGGCGCCACTGAGCAACCGACCAACCGGCCGGCGACGATGGCCGTCGCGGAACGATGCGAGATGGGAAAAGACCGTGCTGGACGAACGGCCCTATCTCGAAAGATACGTCGGGACAGCGCGCGTCGCGGTTTCGCGAGCAGACCCGACGCCGAGGTTCTTATCTCGAGCGCGTTTCGCCCCGCGATACAAAGGGGGAACGCAATCGACTCCTCTAATGTCACCGTCTGCCGCGCCGACGCCTCGTTCCTGTCACGGAATACGCGGTATCGTCTTACTGGCGCATTCATGGCGCGAGTCCGATTCATCGGGGGAAAATCGCGAGAAGCGCGAGTCTCGCGATAAGCAATCCCTTGTTCCTGGAGCAGCTGAATAGCGTCTCGGAACGTCGGCGTCGATCGTTCTCACCCTCCTCTCTCTCTCTCTCTCTCTCTCTTTCCCTCGCGCGCGCTCTTTCTCTCTCCCTTTCTCAAACGAATGTCCCCTTATCGCGCAAAACGACGCAAGCACGATAAAGAAAAATTAGCCGTTCTCGTCCGCGGACGTGGGCGTGACGGGATGGGGAAAAGAAAAATCGAGCGGACCGCATGCGAGGTGTTGTACATCTGTTTAATTTACCTCGGTTCCGGCCTCCGGGGTCCATTCCTCCTCGGAGGCGCCTTCGACCTCCGGATAATCCGGATCGTCCACCTCGTAGTCGTCCTCGTCCGAATAATCCTTGATCTTCTTCATGCTGTCCTTGCGCGAAATGTTTGCCGATTTCCCGTGACACTGTCCGTGAAAAGAGCGTCGTTACGCTGGTGGTACGCGCTGCGGAAAGGAGGTTCGGTGGAACGTGCACACGGTGCACACAGAACACACGGAATATCGCAAACAATATGGCGGTCGGTAAGGGAGGAGGGAGGAGGAACGCTCCCTTTATTATCACGAATTCGCGCGGAGTCGTGGACGGCGTGGCGCCGCGGCTTCGCAATCTGTCTCCTGATGGCAGCACCATTTCAATTTCGTCGTTCTCGCGATACCTGGCTAATCTGGCGCGATACCTGTCACTGTCTATTACCGCCTCGCTGTAACCTCCGTTCTCGCCGATTAAGCGACGCCGATTCTGAAAAAAAGAGTATCGAATTTCAGAATCGATCCATTCTTTTCGGTTTGATTCGTAATCGTGTATAGATTGGAAAAAAAAAAAAAAGAATCAATTCCGAAGAATCGATTTTTTCGATTCGTTTTCTTAGCTAAGTTCTTAGAGTGAGAAAGAACGAGGACAAAGAGAAGGAAGGAGAGAAAAAGGGAAGGGAAATCAATCCATTCTTTTAGATTTGAATTTATAATTGTTTTTTTAGTAAAAAGAAAAACTTGTAAAAACTTTAAAATGAAATGATTAACAAAATTATATACAAGGATTCTTAATTTTTTATATTGTGTACTCTTTGATCGTATATATTTTGACATGAACTTTTTTCTTTTTAGAAAACTCAGAAAGTCTAAAGTCCATGGTGCAGTGATTGGCAGCATCCAATCGCGCACCGTATCGATCATGCGCCTCTTTCGAAAAAATAATTTGGAAAAATTGAATTGCCCACTGCCTATCACAGCAAATTCTGCGTATGGAATTTTTTTTTATTTTCTTTTTTTCTAGCGTTGTGATTGGCTTGTGCGCAAAACTGGCTCGTGTACAATTGACATATATAGTACACCCAAATTGAACCGGTACGATTCTGTGAAAAATTGGATCGATTCCGAAAAGGTCGAGAGATTAAAGAATCGCTTGAGAATAAATTTTTCAAGAGCAAAAAGAATCGATTATTCTCGATGCATCGATACAAAAATCGGCATCACTATCGCGAGCGCGAGAAAATGAACATTTATGTGTATATTCTGAAATTTCAGACGTGTCAATTGCAGGCTACAGCTACCTCCGGCCTCCAATATTAAGCTCAAAGCCTCCCTCTCGCCATGGTCTTGCATCCCCATCTTATATTTTAAGTGTGATTGATATATTGTGTATCTTATTCACAAATATATGTATACATGGTATTCTAAAAATCTGACAAGGATGTTCCTACTGCCACTCATTTCTTACTTGAGAGCAATAATCAGAATATCCTTAAAATACCTTCAAACTATCAGGTGCTATCCAAGTTACTGAAGTACGTTCTGTTTTACATCCTAAACAGCGCACAATATTTATGGGATATTTACAAAATATTTATAAGATTTATTTTTAATATTTTGTGGTCTTATTGCACAGATCATAGATAAAAAAACTATGAAATTTTTCTTATATATTACAGTAAATGCTATGAAAATATTTACTGTTAATTAAAACGTGATAAAAATTTGAAAAGTATGTAAATTTACTATATTGATTAAATAACTTATGTATATCGAGTGAATTTTCTCACTTATGTAACTTTTACCTCACTTCAAGATACACAATCGACTTTTAAAAACAATTGCTCGGTCGACCAATTATTTTCTGTTAAGATATTTTAATTATGTATTTTTTTATTTTATCTCTATTGATCATTTTATCATTGTTTTATTATTTTTGAAAATATCGATACTATAGTAAAGCCATACAATTAATTCGTAATTTCTTTTTTTATCATAGTTATTCAATATATAATATATTATTAAATTAATAAAAAGACTTAAGCAGAACAAAAAATTATAATAATATCTCAAAATAATTCAACAACAAACAGATGAACGTCTCGTTCTGTTTAGAAAAACCTTGATTAAATTATTATTGAGTAATAATAAATACTCGTGTAATAATAGGAGAATTAGAATATTTGGAGAAAAATAAAGTAATTGATTAAAAAAAATAATTTTCCCATCATGAACCCTACGTACAATTAAAACTAACACACATACTATATAAATTATATTATATAAATATATTTACCAGAATTATATTATATAAATATATTTTTCAGATATATATTAATTTTAGATGAAGCTATCTTCTCCCTTTCTCTATCAAAATTAAATTTAGAGCCGGAGGTCCATTTAATTTTGCATTTTAAATATGTGAATTCGTTACAATACTTCATACATGCATTCATCCTATTATAATTTTTTTGCTCATAAGAAAGAATAAATTATCGCGATTGCTAAACAGAGACAACATTGATTAAAATCATTGAGACTCTGTGTGCAATTAACAGAAACATAAATATATTTTTTTAATTTAATTAAATATAATATCCAAGTTACACGCTCGTTGTAGAGAGTTAATAAGCAACATTCTCGATGCAATATCTCGACGATTGTTAATAATTTTTCGGGACTCGCGCAAGACCGGGTCGATATAGGGGTTGGAGCATGCGCCGACGCTCGACGTAGCGTCGGGACGCCGTTCCTTCCGTATTTACGATAGCGGCGGTACCAGCAAAAACCCTGGCGCAAGGGTGAAGAACGGACGGGTGAACGCCAGAGAGAAAAATGTTCGAGCTCTACGGCGTCGGTAAGGACGGCATGGTGTATCGCTCGCCACCTCCTAGGAGAAAGGAAGTCGACATCCTTTCGGAGGTAGGTAAAGCACGTCAAACCCAGCTTGAAATATCTCTTGTTGATTCGTTAATTGTGCCGAGAGGAGAGCTACCTCCTAATTAACTTATTGTCTACGAGTTTGAGAGACCCCAGGGAACATCCGCTGAAATACACACAGTGCGACAAATAATTTTTAAACCTGAGCCTATAAAACGCGGTAGAAACAAAATATTCTCGTGCTTATTGTTTTATTTATTCTCAAAATAATCTCCTCTTGTGTGTGTGCTTTAAAGCTAATTCTAAGTCTGTAATTGGAAGCATGGGACCGCTCTTTGTTCTCCATGATAAAATTTCAACGTCGACTTAAAATTTGTTCGGGAAGAACTGTCATAACTTTATCATTCGATTTGCATGAACTGGGGTGCGTTAGAAAAAACAAAAATGTATCTTTCCAGTGATGCTAATATTCAACAGATGGTGCCACTAGTTGCTGAGATATATGGCGCCAGTCTTAAAAATTATTTGTCGCACTATATATATGTATTATTATTTACCTCCTCTATAATTGATGATCGAGTTGCCCACGCATACAATACACGGATGCTACACGCGTCTCGTGTTCTTATTTTGACTTTTTTCTAAAGCACCAAACAGGTGAATTGAGCTTGTCTATAACATCTTTCCGAGATGTTATTTCTTTTATTTCTTGACATAATGGAAAAAGTTGGAAAACAATCTAGAAGCGCTTCTTATCAGTTCCTATATATACATACTATATATTTCTATACATTCTTTACATGTTATATTTATATTATATTATATCTTCTTCTTTTTTCTTATATTAAGTTATTATATTAAGTTCTAAATTGTGTAATATAATATATTTTACATGTCCATACAATTCATAGCACTAGAAATAGTTTTTACAACATTCGTTGTAAGCATAATTTTCGTGTACAAAAGTAGCATTATATAATAATTGACAATTAAAAAGAATGTAAATTCTTTTAATCGTATTTTTCTTTTATATATAGGTATGATATAAATATATATATATATATTTATTTGTATTATTATCTTACCAGTCTTGTATATCATAATTTATCTAATATTTGTAATCATGTGACTTGTTTCCTTTTGTATAAATTATTTATTTTAGTACTAGTATAACAGAAATTATAAATATATCGAGAAGGCCTAAACTATTAGGAACAAGTTATACAAAGTGATAGTTTATTGCCATTTAAGGAGATCCTAAAGTCGTCTGTATTACCGATTAAACTATATAATTTTTGTATAAAACAATTACTTTTTTCTCTTTCACGAATTCGGAAATAGTTCTCTAACTGTGCCAGCAGATTAGCGACAGAGATCAAACGGGATCGAGCTGCAAATCAAGCTCAATTTTTGCCGTCAATCTTCTGACATGGCGTATCAGCAGGCTTTCTTTTATATTAAAAATTAATTAATTTTAAAATTTTCCTTACTTTTTTCTTACTTAAAAAAAAAAACGTTTCTTAATTTTTGTTATACATATATGGCATTTAACGCTTTAAATTATGCGGCTGCTTTGTGGTCAATCTTTGATTGGCCCCACAAGGCTGCCGCCATTACGCGCAATGATATACCTTGGGTGCGTTCCATTTAACACGCCCACAACGCTCGTGAAATCATCCTTTTTCGCGATTTTATCCTTGTTATTTATCAAGTGTCAAACAAGGAAAAACGATGTTCGTGAGCGTTGCGAACGTTAAGTGAAACGCAGCCCTTGTTTCCTACATCATGCAAAAACTGTATACAAATTTAACATCGAAAAGTAAACATAACGTTAACGTTTTCATTTGGTGAAGATGCAACTCTTGATCTAAAAAAAACTCTTAATTGTTTTTCCATCATATATTTTTGATTGACTATTATATGTTTCATACTATTTTATTAATAGATGTCCATGTAGTTTAAATCAAAGAGGATTAGACTTTAGTTTGAATATTTGATCGAAATATTATGCAGATATTTGTGATTTTAGGTGAGTCCTTAGTGAGGCCCTAAATTTTCGGCACTTTAATAAAAAACCACCTTAACTAACAGGAATACATTACATCAATATTATAATTACCTATTTAACAATATAAATGTAATATAACACATATTGTACGTAACAGTTACATTGTTGAGTAGGAAATTATAACATTATTATATTATTGATAGTTGGTATTTACTATAGTCAATAATTTAACCAATATTTTCCATTTATTAATGTTTTTTGTAAGCAAAAAGTTCAATTAGAACATCACGTTTATGTCAGGCTATGTCAGGATTGTCAGTAACGTTTGAAGATAAAGATCCGTAGATCCGTCAAAAGATACGATTAGT